ATCGAACACGTATCAGCACAATGGACACGGAACGGACGCGTTGATTGGAGAACACGTGACACGGTAAATAACATCACAGCTCAAACGGTGTCGTTTAATCAGTCGCTCTGTTGCAATAAATGTTCCAGGGAGGGGCAAAGTGCTAAACACTTCCAATGCGCAGGACTCGTCAAGCGACGACAGATATGGACAACAGACAGCCTAAACCAAACAATCTCTCAAGCGAATGTGATAACATGATACAAGGCATGTGTGGCATGAGAACGGAGCGTTTGTTGCGAAGCTACGACTTTACGCCGAGCGTAATATCACAAGTACATGTGGGCAGAGTGATGGATTGGCGCAGAAAGGACATCAGTAGACTGAATGGGGTACAAATAGAAACCTGTATTTGAGACGGTGTGAACCAACCAAATGAAACAGAGATTTACAGCCGCTGAGCGTCTCTAGGATACAGAGTCTGTAGCCCTAAAACCCTAAAATTGACTTTTGAAATACCATGTGTTTGTTCGACGAGGCAGTGAATTCGCTATCCTCGTGGAAACAACATAAGGGTGAGTGATTCAGAATGCGCTCATTGTTGTGTATGCATAAACGTATATACAGGCACACTAACTTGTTTCATTTCACCATACCATGCACGTGATCATCACCACAAGCGACAGCGAACCGGCGCAGGTACTCCACGTGGTTGTGTCACACAGCCCCAAAGCCAACACATGCGGAGGCGACAAACCGCTGGAATACCCATCAGTCACATTAGTATGTAATAAGACCAAGAGGTTGAGATGTATATGTCAGCAAGCGTACCATCTAACACTTCAAATAAACACAGCGAGGCGAAAGGCCGCCGTACTTGAACATCAACCCACGAGATACACTTCAGAGTTTGATACGTTTCTAAGATACATATACGTTTTTATCAGCAACTTTGCCCGAGTTTGTGTGTGTCAGATGTGCCTATTATCCGATGCTCGTTTTGTGTTTGTCGCAGATGTGCTTTCTTGGCGTGTATGTACGAGACCGGATGAGTTCAACATCCCTCACAGGCGCTTGTGTGAGACCAATGTGCGATGCGTATCCGAAATAAAGATAGAGTGGCGCAGTGGTGAAGGGCTGAGCTATTAATAGCAGACAGATGTGGTTGGCTAAGCCCAGGTAATACATTTTGTAGCAGTGTATAGGGCTCGGGGACGGGGAATAATATTTGCGGTGGTCAGAGCTGTGGGTAGACACACCCACAGACGTGTGAGACCGGACATAGTGAATGGTTGATCATTGCAAACGCACACACAACTTTGAGCACGAACCCACATCAACACGTGCGAGGATGAAAGGTCGCAGCCCAGATATCAGCCACAAGTGCGTATGATTAGATGAAGAAATTGTGAAAGTAAGATATGGGAGAACATGGGCCACGGATGAACGGGTTTCCTTTTAGATGAGATGCAACTGAGATAGAGACAAACACACATAGAGGTATAAGTGTGCGGTCAAACACATCCCTCACAGAGGTGTATGTGACAACATGGGGCACCCGTTTGCCCAGAGAAGTGAATACAATATAGATACTTATACATATACGGGCAGAGTGGGAATACCACAGTCGCACAGGCAGAGCACTATAACGTCAATGTACACAGACACCAGCTAAGAGCATTAAATGAGAGACTCACCACCACAGGCACACGGAGATGGTCGGCGGAGTCCACAGATACAGCGGTTCCCTTTTGTACCCGAATTTGGCCTAGGAAAAAACGCAGAACAAAAAGGAAGCTCACAATGAGTGGGGAAAGCCTGGGCTGTTGACAAGCGCGAATGACAACTGCGAACGACACACAACCACGTTGCAACAGACATGTGTATGTGATCGGCTCACCCTTGCACTAGGACACCCAGCAACAACCACGTGCGGGCCAAAACCGGCACACGCACGCTTATACAGATATAAAACGTATTGGGGGTTCCAGTCGCTGGCAATCTATGGCGCTAACGTGACTTTGGGGACGCCATCCCCAGGAACATAATAGAACAACCCAACGTTGCTATGCAGAACAATGCCCGCTTGAGATTTCTACTTGAGACACGCACAGCATAGCAACAGATTATTGGCAAAGACAGCCAAGCACCTACCTGCACTGTGTATCTGCGGTACGATGTCAGAAACCACCAGCAGTTCAACAGGCTGATCACAAAGAGAGTGGCCGACAGGCGCAACTGGTGGCATGACATGCAGTGGATGAGAATAAAGTGAGTAATGTGGCTGTAAACGGTAGGTAGCGGTCAAGTGAAGGTGTTGGATCATCGGTGTAAGTGAACAACGTAGGCACTATAAGGACGACGACGATGCAACATGTGTTTATGTGGGTATGCTGTAGTTGTGTAGCTTGTATTCAAATATCCGAATGTGTGAGGTATATGTTGTACTGCAGGTAACTACCTACAACCACACATGGTCTTCTGCACTTCAGACACGATTGATACGCTCCACAAGCACATTGAATAGGGACGGACGAGAAGAGTGCCATCCGTAGCCCATTGACCAGCGATATACACTCAACGAGCCATAGCATACGCAACTGTAGTCAGATACACTTGTGAAGACCATAGCATAGGCAACTGTAGTCAGATACACTTGTGAACACCATAGCATAGGCAACTGTAGTCAGATACACTTGTGAACACCATAGCATACGTAACTGTAGTCAGATACACATGTGAACACCCCACTGTGACAGCACTCGTGGCTCATACGCACACATGCGGCAAAAAACATATGCAGAGCTGATGACAAGTCTAATTCAACCCCCTAAACCCTGAACCCTAAACTCTGGTGGTGTATTTCCCCCTTACCTTCAGCATTTCGGCCTCGGCGTCGTTCACAGCCACAACCACTGCCGCCATGAGCACGATGTTCAGGAAGCAGGTCAACAGGCACCTGTCGCCGGAGATAATAACAGCAATACAGAGCGAAGTTAGCTATGCATACCATACCTGATGTTGAATTTGCAACATCTTTGCATTTGCGACGTACACATGGAACGGAACTTGTACTATTAATAGACTATGCAACCATAGGAGAGGCAATGTCTACAACCGAGTGGACCGATAATCAACATCCCGATGAGAAATAATACACCCATACGAATCCCAAACCAGAGGTGACCGACAGAGATCTTCGCACAATCAGAGCCAGAAAAAAGTAATATCATGCTTAACATACAGCAGGCCGTAGGATGAGATGGGTTGGGATGGTAACAGTCTGCACGCTTGACTGCACCATGGCGTGATAGTGTACTTCCTCTACAAGCACACACGTACCCGAACATCAGAGCCGCCCTTTCACTGTTCAACTGCATGCCCAGTTCCGTGACCAAGGCCAACATCTCGGCCAACAGGGATCCAATGAATCCAAACGGACCGTCCGAAGTATACAGGACGTGTTGAGGGGGAGTGTACATCCTAACACCTAGACAGCGATGAAGTACATATGAGAAGTTCACAGAGAATCATACAGACACTTTGGCTGAGACAAAATGCCATTATAATATATTGCCTATTGCGAGTACCCGTACGGTCAAGGGATGAATATATGTATATCTACATATATATATATATATATTAATATATATATACATATATATGTATATATATATATATATATATATATATATATATATATATATATATATATATATATATAGTGTGTGTGTGTGTGTTTTATTATATATATATATATATATATTATA